CCCTCCCCCGGCCACGCCCCGGTGGCGCCATCTCTCTCTCTCTCTCTCTCCCTCTTTCTTTCCCTATATGTAGCCCTCACTCCTCTTCTTTTGGTGCCCCTTCTCCTGCCTTGGCGGCGCTCCTCCTGTCGCCTTCGCTGCTGCTGCCTCCACCGCCGTCGCTCTCTGACTCTCACCTCCTCCCCCCCTCCTCCTCCTCCTCTCGCGGCGTGTGCACGCACATATGCACGAATTCCAGGCCAAGGCCTGGTGGAGGATATCACCATCCGCGGGGTGCGCGGCACCGTGGACCAGCGCCACCTGTACTGGCCGCCGGATTATGTGAACCCCCCGCTCAAGGACGGCTTCGACATCCGCCGGGTGCAGGTGGAGGATGTCCTGCTGACCCTGCTGCAGCCCTCCTTCCGGCCCTTCAATGTGTCGATCCTGGCCTTGGACCTGGACCGACTGCGCTTCCGGTGGTTTTTGTATGACATCCTCCGGGCCAACATCGCCATCGGGTCCTACGATGATTGCCTGTTCACCTTGCACACGGCGCAGCGTGGCTCGGCCGAGCACCAAGCCCTGGAGCTGGCGGCCGCCGGGGACACCGACGCCGATGCCACCCGGCCTCGGCGCTTCCGGTCCCGGCACTTTACCGCCAATCCCGACACCGGTGGGCCCGACGCGGCGGGCTCCAACAATGCCGGCCCCCTGCACCGCGGGTCGCCCCTCATGGATACCCTCTATCCCAATGGGCATCCGGCCTACACGCCCTACTTGCACTTGACCACCTCGTCGGAGGCCGGCAATTCGGCGGCCAATGCCTCGGGCCAGGGGTCCGGCTCGGCCGCCACCCCGGCCATGAGCCCGGCCGCGGCCCTGGCCGCCGCCGCGTCGCGCATCTTCACCGGGGCCGGGGCCGACCCCGACCCAAAGGACACCCCCCCGCGGCTGGCGCACCTGAAGATTGTCGGCGTGCCGTTCGAGCACTTTGGCAAGAACTCCCCCAGCGGCCCCATGAGCTGGATCTACAGCGGCACTGTGGACATTTCAGCCACACTGGTCCTGCCGGAGGTGGACCCCTCGGTGCGTGCATCAGCCAGCCTGCCAGTCATTCCTGCTCGTTGCGTGTGTTGTCCCTGGCGGGCGAGCGGGCGAGCGGGCGGGCGGGCGGGTGAGCAGGCAGGCCGCAGCTACATGTGACCATTTCGCATTACTGCCGCTTTGGCGGCTGACTGACCTGACAATGCGCCTTCTCCTGCCCGGCCCCTGGCACCTTGCAGCTGCTCACTCCCTACTACGAGACTTATGACCCGGTGCAGCTCCGGCACTTTGCCCTGCACGGGGAGCCCCCCTCGGAGGAGGCGGCCACCTATGCCACAGGAGCCGGCGAGCCGCAGCTCCACCCGAGCGTGCCGATCCCCTATCCGCCGGCGGCGCCAGCCCCGCATCATGCCCACCCCCATCCGCCGATGCTGATCGAGTCGAACCTGCGCTTCAACAACCTGCGCGCGGCGGTCCCCCTGCGCGAGGGGGACTGGTCGTATGTCGATACGACCAGCCTCCGGCCGATGGTCAGCTACATCAATGCGCATGCCACCTTCCTGCCGCTGGCGTATCGTTTGGCCCTGCCAGTGGTGCGTATCCTGTCGATTGGCTTGCCCTTTTCGCTCGCGACGCCTGGGGGGCAGGGGGGCGGGGGCCTGCCACATGGTCAAACGCCACCGCCGGGACACTTCTCGCATGCGCACATGAGCCATGACTGACTCTCCTCCCGGCCGTGCTGCGGTGTCCACCTTCTCGCTCACACACACACACACACACACACACACAGTCGCAATTTGACTCGGCTTGGTCCCTTTTCGATCGGTTTATCGCCTATCGCATCTCAGATGCCATCTACAACAGCTTCCTCCGGCGCATGAGCGACGAGCAGCGCCGCCAGCGCCAGGTCAAGCGCATCGGCGTCTGGGCCTTGCGCGAGGGCATGAAGGGTGTGGCCAACTTCTGGTCCCTGGTCCGGGGCCTGCCGTACTCGCTGCCCGCCGGCCAGGGTCAACAGACCTTGAAGATCAACTCTTCCCCACGAACGGGCCCGGCCCCGGCGCCAACGCCCCTGACACGCCACGACCCACTGGACACCGCACACCTGGCGCCGAACTAGACACGCGGCTGCCTGCCGGTCCTCCTCGCCCTCCCGGTAGCACCCCGCGGTTTCTTTGGGTTGGCGGAAGGCGAGTAGCACCGGCGAAAAGGCCAGCGGAGAGGGCGGGTGCATGTGGTCGCAATGTTTGCCGTCTCCCCCCCCCCCCCCCCACCCCCCCCCTCTCCCCCCCCCCCCCCCCCCCCCCCCCCCTCTCCCCGCCTGATCCAGCCCCACTTTCGAGCGTGCGCACACACGCACACAATAGACATTACATAGATTCCCCCAAACCACACAGGGAGCGCCCCCAATCGACAGAGGTCCGGGTCTGATCGCGTGACTTTCACGTGGTGCCGGTTGACCTTCTCGGCCTCTTCGTCACAATGAGGCCAGAGACACACAATGCCCGGGGCCATGTCCGTGCCCTGAGGTCCCCCCCAGGGTGGGCTGGCGTGGCGACGGGAGGTGGGGGCGGAGGCGGTGGGAGTAGGCAAACTGGCAACGCCCTTCGGTCCTCGGGCGCTGATGGAAACACAGGCACCGTCAGAATCCCCCCCCCCCCCCCCCCCCCCCCCCCCCCCCCCCCCCCCCCCCCCCCCCCCCCCCCCCCCCCTCCTCCGGCGCCCGGTCATTCGAGAAGGGCAGCCAGGTCCGATCGAGCCGCTTGGGAGCCCCTGCGTGCCACACACACACACACACACCCGCGCCCCCCCCCTGCCCCTTCCTTGGACAAGGCACACAGATCTCACCCCGCGACAAAGAGAGAGAGAGAGAGAGAGAGAGAGAGGGAGGGAGAAAGGCGACTCAGGTGCTGGGACTCTCACCGCAGGGCGCGGCCAACTTTGCTCCTCCCCCTTTCCTCCCTCCCCCTCCCTTGCCCCACGCACGACTCCCCTCCATACATCTATTTCCTGCGGTGTCTCTCTCAAGCACACACACGCACACACACACACATACACATATCCCTGGCATTGGAAACAGATCCCGCGTTTCCCACCCTTTTCATCGACTCAACATAGCATCTGGCCATGTCTGTCGAACTTCTGGACACCCTTATGGGTACATGACTCCCCCCCCCCCCCCCCCCCCATCCTTACCCGCCCAGACCGCCTACTTCCGCACAGCGCATTCACCTCTTTTGACTCTCCGTGTCACCTCCCGTCTGCGCCTCTTCCCCCCTTCCCCCCTTCCCCGAAAGGACATGAGGACCGCGTCTGGCACGCCGCATGGAGTGCGTGTGGGCGCTGGCTGGCCACTTGTGGTGGTGATCGCACCATCCGCATTTGGGCCCCGCTGATCCCCCGGCCGCGCACGGTCACCCAGATGGTGGATGGGGTCATGACCAAACAGGTCCATGAGGCGCCTCCCCCCTCGCTGGAGCGGTGGTCCTGCGTCGCGCGTTTGAAGACACACCTCCACCAGCGGACCGTGCGCGCGGTCGCGTGGCGCCATTGTGGCCGGTTCTTGGTGTCGGTAGCCTTCGACGCCAGCATGGTCCTATGGCAGCGCACGTCTGACACGAGCAACGGTGCGTGGCTTATTGCCCTTGGGGTCTGTAGCCTTTTCATGCTGTTGCTGGGAGCTGGGGCGGGGGGGGG